GCGAGGTCCCGCAGTCCGTGTACTCCGGGGCAGCCCCGTTCGTAACTGCGGATCCGACATAAGTCGGATCCGCGTAAGTCGGGGACTGCCTGTATATTAGAGGTCAGATGATGTTAGTATACAAGTTCAAATACAAATATTAACCGCAGACAAGTGGTATAGCTTGAAAGACTGGGAGACTGGCAAGACATACAAATCAATTCAGCTTTCATGGTTCCCTTTGTCACTAAAATAACTTCAACTTCAATTCGTAAGGTTGAGGATATGTATAATGTAAACAATAAAAAAAATTGCATTTCTCTAGCACCATTCATCTGAGGTTCTCAAAGTACTATGCAAACACAAATTAACCCCAGCTACCTCACAGATGTATGGTAACTGATTTGTACTCATATTTAAAATAGCACTAATGGAGGTACAGGGTCAGTGACACAGCGATGAACAGAAATCCAGAAAAATATACTGACACTCAGCACTGTCCTCACCACTAGGCAAGTCTCCTTCAATCAAATTAAGTAGACTGAAAAATGAGTAATTTAGTCCATATATATTTTCAGAACAATAATTGATAAAGATTCCTTGTAAGGGTTTTTTTTAAATTAAAAGGACTCAGAACTAGAACATTAATTGGGGGAAAATTTAACCAAACTATTTTTAAAAGTGCGTGCGTGTGTGTGTGTGTGTGTGTGTGTGTGTGTGTGCGCGCGCGCGTGAGAGAGAGAGAGAGAGAAAGAGACTTAGCAAGAAAATACAAGAAACTCAGCTTTCTTGCTGAGCTCTGCAGGAAAGTTTTAAGAACTATTTTGAGGGATCAACAAGGTCTTTGGGGATTATCAGGAATGTAGAATTGCATGATGCAAGACAAGAACAAAATCCAAGGAAAGTTTTCACTAGCCTCTTATAATTCATTTGAAATTATCATTACTATTATGTAAAAAGGGAGTGAGATTAATTTCCCAAAAAGGCTGTAATAAAGGTTCCATATCAGGATGCATAAAGATTAGAAATAGAAATAAACTTTAGTTAAGATTTAGTTAACATTTTTATTAATATTCATTATTCTGAAAATTATATTTTTACACATGGTTTTCTCCTTATGCTTTTTGTTGGTTTGGTTTAGTTTAGTTTCTACCAAATGTGTCATTCTGGTTGTGTAATCAAGAGTGATTTTTCCTGGATGTTTCACATATTAGCATGGAAACTGTGATTAGCATTCCATAAAAAAAAATGCTCACCTGAAAGAACATGAGCAAAGCATTGGGTTTAATTCACCAGAGTTAATGCAGTGAGGCTTATACTGCATCAAAAGAAGAACCTTGCCACCAGCAAAGCTCCCTGATCCCCAGAGGTAAGTCACACATATAGGAGGAACAAAGCAGTGTGGGAGAGCAGATTTAATTCCCATCATAGTTCCAGCACAAACCCTTTTCCAGTGGGAAAGTCTTTAGACAGGTATTGAATCAGAGGACTCCTAAGCATATGGGCTAAGCTTTTTTGATGCTCTGCTGTGCTGATTTTTTGTCATGTCCCTAAAAATGAGGTTGTGGTCACTTTGCTTCCCTGTAATCCAGCCTCCATAAGGAAACTCTGACCTCTTGTATAAGGCAGCACAGACCCTTCAATGAAATTTTACCAGCATATCTTTTCGTCCCGTAATAGACTGATCCAACTCCTTGGATCTCAACACTGTCAAACAACGAGGAAGTTTTGATTAAGTTCTAAACACTACATCGTAAAGCTATCTGTATCTTAATCAGTACATAAGCACTTAGAAGAATGTACAGGTTGTAACTCCCTTAACTAGGACCTTCTGGTCGGCAACATCTGTGGTCCAGCAGAACCTCGGATGTTCCTGGACCACAGAGCCCAGGTATAGGGAGGTTAGGCTGGGGGACAGGAGCAACGGAGTGGAAGGGGACAGTGACTCAGCCAGGAGCTGGGGGAGAGCACAGAAGGGCAGGCAATGCAGGAAGGAATTCTGGCCCCTGCAGCTGGGCAGTAGCAGGAAGCCTGTAGCAACCATGGAGTTCTGGCCCTGGCCACTGAGTTTGGGGCCAGCAGCAGCACCTGAGGAGCTCCAGCCCTGGCCGCGGAACTCAGGGGCCAACAGCAGCAGCTGCAGAGTTCCACCCTGGTGAAAGCCACAGAGCTGCAGCCTGGGGAGCCACGGATGGGCAGGCAGCAGCAGGCTGGACTGGAGCCCTAGCCAGGGGCAGCAGGGCTGCATAGGCCATGTTAGGAGAGACCTCCCCTGGTCCGGCAAATCCCCTCGTTCAGGTCCTGAGGGTGCCGGATGAGGGAGGTCCAATCTGTAATGGGAGGAACGACAAGCACCTTAGATACATAAAAAACAGGTCAAGCCAGACAAACCTGATAACACACAGAACCTGAGCAAAATTAGAGGGTGAGTGGACAAGTGAAAATAATAACTTAATATAACTGTAAGATTACATAGACAAGGCAAACATGTCCCCAGGAGATTTCACATATCTGCAAGCATAGGTACAGGAAGTTCAAACACTTTCCTTGGACTTCTACTTAATTATTTCATAGATACATATTTTTTAAATGTATGGTATCTTGTCTTTTTAGTGAGACTGTTGGTACATTGTTGCTGAAAAATAAATACTAACATTGGAAATATGGTGACTAATTAAGATTACTGTAGGAAGAGATTAAGTTGTCAGACTCACTGAAAATGGAGCATAGTTACTTTACTTAAATTTAAATATCAAACTGGGAAGCGGTACCAAGTGGCATTCTCTAAAAGTTTATATTTGGGGCTGAGGCTATATAACATCATCCTGAATAATTTGGAAAATTGTACATTGATTAAATGTACAGGAGACACAAGATAAAGTTAAGCTTCAACATAGCAGGTGGGTAGACTGAAAATAAAGAGCTAGAAAGCTGAGAGAGATGGGCGTATTTAAGTGGGATGAGATTTTAATATAGATAAATGTAGAATAATAAGCTTGGGGAAAATTAACACCCAGCTCAAGCAACCAAATGGGAAAATGCCAATTTTCATTAAAAAAAAGTTTCCAATAGATTTCACAGTTTATTCACACTATGAGAATTCACACTGGGTATATGCATCAGGTCTGACAACTTGTTTGCTACATTCCAGCCTGACGTGATTTCAAAAGGAAGAAAAACAGATTCCCTGAAAGCCTACCTTTTAAAATAGAATATTAATGTCCTTTAAATATGTATATAGTGCTCATGAAATGTACCAGATTTAGAACTTCATTAACAGAAGTGCAAACTTCCATTTTATTTATCCACCAATGAGACACACAGGGACCTCAGTAGGGGGAGAGTTCAGTCTGCAACCCAATTCCTACTTTAGCAGATCTATTCAGCCATTAAGGGTACCAACAACTACCAGAATTTCTTGTTTATATGTAATGGTAAGGCCCAATCCTTTGGAAGCCATTGGACAAGAGTTTCCTCCTTGCTATCACAAAAGAGATCAAAGTGGCCTCAGAATACAGCAAAAGGAAAACTGTGATGTATTGATTGGTTACTATAAATGTCAATATTAGTCCAAAAACTAAACTGCATCTTGATGAAGAGTATTAATAATATATAAAAGACAACAAAATTCTGAGGGATAAGAACTCATGCTACACACAGATAGAGAAAAATATATATTTTCACTGAAGGATAAGATATCTAAAATTGTGAGCTTTCAATGTAAAAAGACAAACTCAAAAGATATATTTACAATAGACTCAAATTAAACAGTAATAATATAAAATTGTTAAATTGTACATTCTTTCCACATACCAAGTTAGCTACATGGAATATTTAAATAGCTCACTCTTGAATGAGTGTCTAAAGGATACATTATTTTATCTTTGTTTCATTGATTTAATGATCCATACTGTTATACTCAGATACTTTGCCAGAGGACAAATGAGCAACAAAAATTAAGTTTATAAAACTGAATATTATTTTTTTTATTCTCACACTAATCCAAATATGACTGCAGGGTATGAAATGGCTGGTGTGCTAGTAATCAACGCAATAATTTTATTTATTTATATTAAAGAGATGCTTACCAAGGAGAGCCATATATTCTGAACCCCCTCACTGTAACTTCAGAGTCTTGAAGATAGATGCAATTTGTTAGAAGAGACTGCACATTTTCATAGCTCTCTGGTTTCAGCTTAGACACAGAGGGGAAATAGTAAAAGTCCTGCTTGATTAAGTCTGCCATGAACTCTTGGTCAAAGGTCAATTCATGATTTCCTGCTATCACAATCTTGTATTCGTATGGCAGGCTACCTAAAATAGCATAAAACAACAAACCTCAGTTACCTTTTCAGGTTCTGAAAACTGAATAGAAGAAACAAACAAACACATAACACTGCCACACATTCTTACACATTTGTAACAACCAGATTCTGGCATGAGATGTCTGAACATAACTACCCCTGACTTCAATGGGGGTAACATACACTTCTCCAATAGCAAAATTTGACTCAATCTACATGGAAGTAGTGTGGTGACTCTGTCTTAACTACTGATTTAAAAAATATATATATGTGTAGTAAGATAAGATGAAGGACTGAAACAAAAACCCATGCAACACAGGCCTGTTTGAAGACATGAGGCCTACCTAACAATAGTTAAAACTTTACTAATATAAAGCAGAGCTAAGCTGCAAGAAGCAGGCTCCTACTCACAATGAGGGATAAGAGTATTAAACACTAATTGGTAATAGGCACAGGTGTAAAATAGTAATTGGTACTAGGTACCAGCTGTAAAACTGTAATTGGTACTGGGCACAAGTTAAAAGCACATTGCAAAAGCATGATAACACTAGATCGTTAAAAAAAACATTGGTACCCACCTTCCCCATAAATACTGACCTAGGTTCAGGAAATGGTCTAAAATAACAGCATAATAAATAAAAATGTTCTAATCAAACCACAGGATGCAGGGTAATGGTTGGTATCTAAGCAACACCAAAGGGTGGCCAGCCTAACATGTCAGAAGTAATGTGTAACTTGTTTGTACCTATATATAAAGTGATATTTTAAAGGAGCTGTCTTTGTTCGGCCTAGGGGGCAGTAATAAATCCCATGTCACTAATTAAGCTGTGTCCATTGTCAGGGGGTACATATGCTTAGTGGTTTGATAAAGACTACTAACAACTACTACTGTACTTCGTTTAACAATAAACTTGGCTGTGTGCTTTAGATCCTTATCTAATTTTGTGGTCTTTGGGGGCTCCCTCAAAGTCTGCTATGTTGAATACTTGCGTAAGTCAACATGGCACACATAAATAGGCACACACGCACATAGCCAAATGGTTATCATCATTAACAAAGCAAAAAACCCGTCAAAACAGCACACCAGTAAATCCTAACTATTACAATATGCACACCTCTGTTGGTCACAGTTGCCACTTGCAATGATAACAAAAAAACTCTCAGACAAGCGCTTGGGTTTTAGAGCCACTGACCATAGCCCTTATTAAAATAAACACCACCTCTAAATTTCTTGCAACCTGCTAGTGCTTAAATGTAACTTCATAGTAAAGAGGCCCTACTGATCCAAAGCTCTTCAGAATAAGAGACCACCTTCGACATAATTCAAAAACCCAAACCTTCAATCAAAAGAGGACTCAGGATTATCTATTGGTACTGGGATCCTTTGAATCTGTGCCTAATTTGCCCTTCCCCTATTCCTTTAACTCATATTTTGGGGAAGAGGTTAAGACAACCACAGATGGGAGGTGGCACCACTTGCCCTCAAAGCTGCAACAGTAACATTTCAAAAATCTAAGATCAACGTAGCCTAGAGAACTTCTGCCTACTAAGAAAACTGTGTGAGCACTTCCAATGAGGAATTCTGACAAGATAACAGTCAAATCGGTGAACTCATGACATACAGGGAAGAGTGTTCAATATTATACTTGGCAACTAGTTCTGAGTGTTGATCCTCTCTGCATACACCACAGGAATGTAAGAATGCCTGAGTTTACGGCCTACAAACTCTCTCACGCACTCCCTAATAGTAGCACTACAACAGAAAAATTCCTACCCAACTCCACATGTGGTTATCAGTTGGACCCTGAAGTTGAAAGCAGGGATCACTAGCAATGTTCCCTCTAATTTTTTCCACCCATATGCAGAATACATTTTGTTATGTGCACCAAGGTATCTATGAATGTGCACCACCAATAGAAACACATTCTGCCGGCCATGGGAACTCTACTAATCAGGTGGGCGGCACATGAATCTCTCCTGGGCAACTGCCCAAATGCTCAGCTTACAGAGAACACTGATCACTAGTCTCAAACATACCTGCGGGATCCTAACACGAACTTTCTGAATGTGCTTAAAGAGGACAGAGAGAAGACTAAAAGATAAAGGAAGAGTAAAACACTTTGAATAAGGCTGCCTCAAGCCAGAATATGCTAACATTACTTTTTGTGCTTGTGACGGTGGTTTCTGTGGAAATAAATGACTTCATGGCAAATACATAGTAGATAACTATGTGTTGTAGTTAACCAAACCCACAGAGACCTAGCAGTTTTTAATTTACAAAAAAAGTGACAAGGTAACATTATATAAAACTTCACTGATGACTCTGAGCCCAATTCACAGCAAGAATAACTGATGATACCAATCACCACGTGCACATAAATCGCAATAAAATTTGTCATGGGTGGGATTGAGGAATAAAATCCACCCACATAGCATTGATAGGTAGTAAAATAGCAGTTAGACAAAGCTGGTGATTGTATGCAGATTGTGTAGGAATGGGGGAAAAGAGGTGTGGCTTACCAAAGCTCAATATGTAGAGTCCAACAGCTGTCACAAAAGCAAACTGCCCTAGTCTGATGTTCCATAGGTAGAGATCATACCAAACATCATCCATATTCTTAGCACAAACTGCAAGGTTACCACATTTCCTCTCCAAGACAATGTCCCAGAGGGCATTTAAGGGTGAGTCTACACTACCCACGTAGGTCGAAATAAGATACGCAATTTGAGCTAAGGAAATTGCTTAACTTATTTAGAAACAGCTTATTTATAGTGTCTACACAGCACTTATTTCAAAATAAAGCACTATACCTAAATGTTCCTTACTCCTCATGGGATGAGGTTTACAGGGACATTGGAATAGCGAACCTGTTATATTTCAGAATAATGGGTATTCTCAAAAGACATAGAATAGCAAGTGCTGAAGTACAGACATAGCCTAAGAGAACAATAACTCTTAAGGCACAGACAGTGGAAATTAACCCAGCAAAGGAATAGGAGAGGCCTCCAGAATGGCAAGTTTGAAACCCCTAATTCCCGAGGTTCCACATCCTAGCACTTGTCTAGAAGTTTCACAAGCAACTCCTAGAAATGAATTTAGGTCATACACAATTCATGTCAAGCCCTGTGACCATTTATCAGCATAGAATAATAAGAGCTGTAATGCTTTCTTGGTGTTAGAACATAGTGACATAGGGGAGTCTTATGTTAGAGATCCATGAGCTACAGCATCAACTTCTCACAAGATACCACAAAATTGCATTTGACACCTGCAAAATGAGGAGGACTGGGGTGAAAAGTTATCAGAGTGGCATAGATGACCCATAACTCTTGATGGTGATGGTGGTGGTCACAAAGACTTGGGAGAGGGGGACATGTGACTGTGCCACACTGTTCCTCTAGACTAGGGCTGTCAATTAACGCACGTTAATGCATGCAATTAATGCAGAGCACAACTGACACATTAATTTTTTAATGCGTTAATCACATTTCAAAGAGGCAGTACAATGAGAGCCTGGGATTAGCTGGAGTCCCTAGCTGACCCTGGGCTCTGGGTAGCGCTGCCCCTTTGAAATACTGCTGATGCATTTCAAAGGGGCAGCGCCAGGAGTCAGCTGTGCGGTGCTGCCCCTTTGAAGCACTGCCCTGGTGTTTCCAAGGGGCAGCGCTGCATAGAGCCAGAGTCAGCTAGGGACTCCAGCTGATCCTGGGCTCCGCAGAGATGCCGCTGACCCTTTGAAAGGCTGCCCCAGTGTTTCAAAGAGGCATCACCGCGGGAGCCCGGGATCAGCTGGAATCCCTAGCTGACCCTGGCTCCATGCAGTGTAGCCCCTTGGAATTGCTGCCACCACCGCTGCATTTCAAAGGGGCAGTGGCAGCACTATGGGAGCCCAGGATCAGCTGGAGTCCCTAGCCGTGGCATTTCTAAGGGGCAGCTGCAGTGCCATGGGAGCCTGGGATCAGCTGGCCGGGGTGGCCTTTCAAAGCGGCAGCACTGCACAGAGCCAGGATCAGCTGGGGATTCCTAGGCTCCTGTGGTGCTGTCTCTTTGAAATGCTGCTGCTGTGTTTCAAAGGGGCAGCTGCACTGAGCCTGGGGACTGCTGAGGTCTGCTTGACAGCCCTACTCTAGACCCTTTCCCCCCTACCTTTGAGCCGTCTGCAGTGGTTCCAAGTCAGCAGCACCTTCCCAGTGGGTTCTGGATATCTACTGCCAAGCAGGCAACTGTGGGTGTGAATGAGGAAAGGGCTGGCCTCAAAGGGCTTCCCCACACACCCTCTGGCAGAGCTGTACTGCCAGCTCCATTTCTCTTCTCTATTCTGGGCAGGGCCCTATGGACAGCTATAAACTGGTCCCTCTCCCAGGCACATTCCCCTCAGCTACATTCAACCTGATTTCCATGATGGCAGAAATCGGTGAGGGGGGGAAGAAGGGGAGAGAGGAAAGCACATGGTTTCCCCTCCCATGCCTCACATCACCTCTGCAGGTTCAGATGTCAGTGTTGTTGGCCAGCAATACAAAAACACACACACACACACACACACACACACACCCAACAACAACAAAAACCCTAGGAAAAAAAGCTATTCTGAGAGTGTCATAGCATATAAATACCAACAGAATATACCCCATATACTTGCCCTATCTATACAGGCACTGATGTGGGGGGAACATAGTGGTTGAAATCAAGCACTTAGCTACAAGTCCACTCCTGAACACAAAGCATCTCCTCAGATAATAGGGACAGAAAGATTTTTCCCCTCCAGATCCTGGGCTGACAGTGAAGCTGTTCCATGGCTGGAATGCCAGTATCTGATCCACATAAGTGGAGGGTGATGGAGAGCAGGAAAATGACCAGAGATGGTGCACTACCTAATGACCAATGGAAGATCCATCATCCCCTCATTTATGCAATGCTATATCCCTACTTCATAGTGATATGTTGGGTGTCCCACAGAGCTAGGTTTCATGGTGCTCCTGGCATGAACACTTTTATGTGCTGACTCTTGA